TGACTAGTTCAATAGAAAAAAATTACATATCGCATTAGAAGATCAGGGGACCTGCCAATGAAAATCCTGGGCTCGCTCCTTATCAACCTATAGAGAAGTCCACATTCAATAGTCCTGCCGCCTCATCCCTAATGTTTCCAATTAGTTTTTTAGTGCTTTAGTCTGAAATACGAATGAACAGCCAAGGTTCACCAGATAGTAAAGGAAGCTTCTAACATGAAAGAGACTAAAACAAAAAAAGAAACTCAGAGGAAATGAAAGCAGAAGAAAATTTCCAAAAATCTGTAACAGAGTCTCTCCCCACAACCCTCTCTCTCCATAAAACAAGAGCATATATAGGAACATATATCTATCCATATCTGTATTCAGAGAACAAGAAAGAACTCTTGGAAATAAGAACTATGACAACAGAAATTAACAATTTCATTGAAGGGTTAAAAAAAGTGAGAAAAATCTCTCAGTGCACAGATAGAATATATGTGAGAAAAGAAGGAAAACGATAATGAAAATCGTATCAATTCAGAAGTACCAACACCCAGTTCATAAAAATTCCACAAAAAAAACCCCAAAAAACAAAAAAACAGAGAAAATTGAGGGGAAGAAATTAACAAAGGAAAAATAAAAGAAAAATTTCCAGGTTAAAAAGGTAAATAGGGTATGAAGGACAATATGTGAAAAAAGACCCATTAGAAAGCATGAAGTCATATTTCAGACCACCATGGACAAAGAGAGTCCTCTAAAAGCTTCATAAAGATATCAAACACAACATGATCAAAAAGAGAAAAAAATAGCAAGGCCCCAAACATCTTAATATGCTCAAACACATCAACACATCAAACACACAGACCTTTTGTAGCTCTAGAAGGGCTTGGGGCTGCATAATAATTGATACAGAGGAAACTAATGCAACGAAAAAAACGAGACATCCAATAACTCCAGGAAAAACAAGTTGTACAGGAAAGGAAATAGAACCAGTATGAGGCTCAGCTGAGAATGATATTATACAACATTGATGACAATAATTATGTAAATAATGCAAAGTGGTTGAAAACAAAAATGATATGGGAGGAATGACAGGAGGGACGAGTGGGTGAAAAAGAGAGGGAGAGAGTGAGCACACGAGCATGCGCGTGTGTTACGGGCATGGGGTGGGTTAGACAGCTCAGTCTTTGTCTTCCACAGTAGGAAGTCAATCGGTACCTAAAATGGAAAGATCAGTAAAAAGCGTTTTAAGCATGTTATTTAGAAACATGGAGCTAAATAAAACAGTTAAACATTATTATTTTCGGGGAGTGGATACTGGGGATGGGATACAGCAGCAGACTACTATTTTTGTTTAAGCTTGTGGTGGCATTTAACTTTAAAGATTATGTATATGTATTATTTTGAAAAAGAATGGAATTTAAATTAAAAAACAAAAACAAAAAACTCCCCCAAAGTTATATAACCAGTAAGTGGTGGGGCTTGGCATCCGAACATGGGAATTCCAGAGCCCATGCCCTCAGCCAGTATACTCCCGCGCTTTCTAGATATGCTCCACAAAATTCATGGCCCTATTCAGGATCAGGCATTGGTGGTAACTGCGTCAAAGAGGTATGAAGAAGTCTTACTCATTAACAATTATCAGGCACCAAGCAAGAGAGACTGGATGGGAAGACCAGCCGCTGAAAATATTACCAAAGGAGGTTTGAGTGTTGTATTCTGGACAGCTCAGAGTTCAAGTCAAGCGTTTGTCCTTAGGGAACCATTTAATGGGGTCAGGTGATGCGCTGATTGGCTACAAGAATGTAAAGAACATCTTCACGGAAGGGTGGCGTCTACAAGGATCTGGCAAACATACATCTCCACATCTTGGGGGACTCCGTTTCAGCCCTGCTAGTCAAAGTGGGTTTTGGATCCCGCCATTTGAAAAGTGAGAGAAATTCAATACCATCTCGGTCAAGAACTGTACTGCCCATCTCGCCACTGTTACCTACTCCTTCACCATTTCTAATGGTGTCAAGATGCTTGGGGCTTGGGGCTTGGGAAGATAGAGGTGACAGCAGCTTTAGGCAGCATCAAAACAATGTCGCTGTTAAGGCAATCCCAAAGGTCACTTCATGTCACTGACATAAGAGGGTGTGATTATACCTTCTCCTTCCAGGCACACATCCTTGGGGTACCCCAGAGAGACTGTTCCCCTCTGAGGGACACGTGACGCTGCTGGGAGGTGGGGAAGGAAAGGGCAAACCAAACTAAGAGGAGCAATGGATTTAAAAGACTCCATGTCTAAACTTTCACTAATAAAACACTTGAAAAGGTTTACATATTTAGACAAAAAGATTATATGCAAATGCTAACTTTTGGGATAGATATAAAGTAAATAATAGTATTTGGAGTGCTTCTGCCTGAAAGCTAGAAACTTATCCAGAGGAAAAAATGAAGGCATCAGTTTAAGTGTTTAGTTATTGCTATTTTTGAAAATAGCTACCATTACTAGTTTCTATAAGTTAGTTTATTTGTCCTTTGAAGGAACCATTTAAAAATTTCTAGGAGAGGGGTGGCTGGTTGGCTCAGGTGGTTAGAGCACGGGCTCATAACACCAAGCAAGGCTGCCAGTTCGATTCCCCCATCGGCCAGGGAGCTGCGCCCTCCACAACTAGATTGAAGACAATGGCTTGACTTGAAGGTGAGCTGCCAGTGGACGGCCGATTGGCTCAGTTGGTTAGAGCATGGTGCTTGTAACGCCAAGGTTGCAGGTTCGATTCCCACATGGCCCAGTGGGCTGCGCCCTCCACAACTAGATTGAAAAACAACTTGACTGGACAAACACACTGTTCCCCAACTAAAAAAAAAAACAAAACAAATTTCCAGGAGAGAGCTCCATCATAATAGGCTAACATATTGGCATGAATTAAGTGACAAGCAGAGAGAAAAAGAAAAAGCAAGCGACAAACAAAAGACACAACATGATACTGGATAGGTTAGGAAGTTTCTTACTTAGTAGATCTTAGAAATCATTGCACGTGGAGACATACTGGTCTCCCATGTGCTTCTTAATGGCTACATGGTGTTCCACTTTATGCACATATCAATTTAACAAATCTCCTACTGATGAACATTCAACTTGCTCCCAGCAGTTCCTTGTTACAAACACTGCAGCAATTAAAATCCTGTACATACATTTTTTTGTTCACTTTCCCAGTTACAGCTTTAG